CTCCTCCAGCAAACTGCCGTACAGGAAGCTGTCGGTCGTGTTACGCGAGGAGCGAGAGGAGGAGTCTGAAGACCTCTCGCTGGTGCCTGATGATGATGATGGTGACTCGTGTGGGCGGGGCTTTTTTCTAAAGCAAGGGGGCGGAGCTTCGGATTTCCCCAGCTGAGAGGAAACAGAACAATTGGCATTTACACAACAAATGCAATGCATGTGGTTTGAGGGAGCGGATATTTAGTGCCATCAATACAAGATGGTAAGATAAACGCACTATAACTCAAATCACAATTTTAAAATTAAATCACAAATCCATCATAATATAATTTTCTCACCAGAGACATGGAGCTCCCGACTCCCAAACCAACAAACAAAGAGGAAGCCAGCTGCTGTTTGTCCTGGTTTTGCGTTGAGGGCTCCGGCCGTGACTCTATTCTCTCTGCTGCCTCGTGTTGGCCGGGGGGCTGAACTGCAGCACTGGGTTCATCCACCAGAGGTGCTGTTGCTTCTTTTTGTGGAAGATACCCATCTTTCCCCCAAACTCTCTTTACACCCTCAAGAATCAGAGTGCTGGAACTGAAATGATACACAAAGTTAATATACAAACATATACAGGTGCATCTAAAAAAATTAGAATATCGTGAAAAAGTTCTTTTTTTTGTAACTTATTTCAAAAAATGAGACTTTCATATATTCTAGATTCATTACATGTAAACATTTCAAAAGTTTTTTTGTTTTAATTTTGATTAGAGCTTACAGCTCATGAAAGTCAAAAATTCAGTGTCTCAAAATATTAGAATATTTCCTAAGATCAATAAAAAAAAGGATTTGCAAAACAGAAAAGTTCAAGTTCTTTAAAGTATGTTAATTTCTAATTAATAATAATTGATGCATTTAGCAGACGCTTTTATCCAAAGTGACTTACAGTGCATTCAGGCTATACATTTTTTAACAGTATGCGTGTTCCCTGGGAATTGAACCCACAACCTTTTGCAATGCTAACGCAATGCTCTACCACTGAGCCACAGGAACACCTTTCTCACTCAAGAACATTTCTGCTCTCAATATTTGGTCGGGGGTCCTTACGGCACAAACTCCAGCATCAGTGCGGTGTGGCATGAAGCGATCAGCCTGTGGCACTGCTGAGGCACTATTGAGCCTTCAGCTCGGATCCACTGTTTCTCATCTTTCTCTTGAAAATATCCCATAGATTCTATATGGGCTTCAGGTCAGGCATGTTGGCTGGCCACTCAAGCACAGTCATATCATGGTCAGCAAAGCACTTGGAAGTGATTTTGGCACTGTGGGCAGGTGCTAAATTCCTGCTGGAAAAGGAAATCAGCATCTCCATAAAGCTTGTTAGCAGATGAAAGTGCTTCAAAATCTCCTGGTAGACGGCTGCATTGACTTTGGACTTGATCAAACACAATGGACCAACACCAGCAGACGTCACGGCAGCCCAAATCATCTCTAACTTCAGAAACTTCACACTGGACTTCAAGCAGCTTGGATCCTATGCCTCTCCAGTCTTCCTCCAGACCTTGATTTCTGAATGAAATGCAAAATTTACTTTGATCTGAAAAGAGGACTTTGGACCACTGAGCAACAGTCCAGTTGTTTTTCTCCTTAGCCCAGGTAAGATGCTTCTGACGGTT